TCTTTCTTTTACCTAAATTGAGTGGATTTTCAAGCGAGCAAGTTGCTTTTGTCTGAAACGGAATTTGTGTGTTGCGCACCCCATACCCCAAGTCCACTATGTTGATTTGATTTTTCTCTTTACTTCTTTTTTCTTTTTCTTTTCCTTAAGCGTGCCTTGCTATCAAGGATTCTTTGGACTTTTGGCTCCGTCACGCCCCCCAAATAAAAGCGACCTCCCTACTCTTCACCCGCGTATTTGGACTGTTGACTGTTTGTTCATTTCATTTCTCTAGCTGTTTTATCATTCGAGTACATTTGTTGTATCAGATTTGCTTCCCTGTCTTTTCTTAGGCTTGCTTTCTTTGTTTGATACTCATTCCACTCAAAAGATGCTTTTCATGGGTTGCCATGGATTCCTCGGTTGACACATTGGTCTGGGCACTTTCCCACGAGTATCCGTATATGCTGTGATGAATTTCCTTGGAGCACGCGACATCATTGATCTTTTTTCTAAGTATCTCTGCCTTGCTGGCGTTCTAGCCCAGATACCAATTTGCCTTTTTTTCCCCTGCATTTTGCCTTTCCATTGCTTTAAACTCATTGCCGATGGCACTTTCTTTGTTTATTTTTATATATACCATGTATGATGTGCAGAGCAGACGGCGGATTGCATGATATTATCTGCCTATAGGCTTGCAGTGAAACTGAATATGTTGTGTTATGCTCTGCGGGGCATTTGAAGTCGAACCGGTTTCATAGCAGTTGGTATCTCATTGTAGCGTTGGTTGATTGGTAAACTGCAGCCCTTTTCTTGCTGTACATGTATGCAGTGTGACAATCAGATGTACGGCATGTTTTAGATTGGGATAGGCAAGGTACATGCTCCATCCTTTTTCTATTCCTCTGAATTTTCTCTGTACCCAGCTGGAAAACCGGGATTGGATGGTTATTTACTGATCACGAAGCTATATACTCCGTACTGATGGATATATATGCATAGGTATTCCGGCTTTAAGTATTCTGCTATTTACTCTTCCAATTAAAAGACACCATAAAAGACATAGAAATTAAAGCCTTTAATATAGTATAAAGACTTTGCAGCATTACCTTCTAGCCGTGGGAAAATATTGAAGGTACATACTGGGAAGGGGACCGAGTTAAGGGAAAGTGCCTCTCAAATTGATAATAAGATCCAATATTTATATAAATTATTTTACTCCACATCTTACCTGTTATTTCTGATACTTTATATGCATTAGAGACATAATTCAAGGCTATTTGAGCGTGTGTCGCCGCTGGCATCGCAATATTGATATAACTACAGTTACATTGTTGGTGCCTGAGATATAGGGCTACAACGCCACTCCTTTACGGCCCTGTGCAGGTAACATCCATGGATGTCTTTGCAAAACAAAAACACCAAACGAGAAAACACAGATTCCGAGTTTCACCAAGCAAGAGGATTGACCGAGCTGACGTTCCAGCTCCCGGTTCCACTCGCACTAATGGACGATGACGAGAGAACCGCGGACTTGGCGGTCCACGAACTATCTCCTCGCACGCGATCAGGCAGCGTAAGTAGCGGCCACAAACGAAGCCTTTCGGGTTCCCTCCTCTCGAGACTTTCTTTCCTTCGTGTGAACCAGACAGCACACACCTCCCTGGAACGACACCACCCAGATATGGACCACGATGGCGACGAAGACCTCCACTCCGGTATGCCGCAGAGCACAGGCAAGGGAGGAACTACCAGCAGCCGGGCAATGTCTGCCGCTCTCGCACAACACCGAACGCGCCGTCGGCGTGGTTCGCTCCGCAAAACTGCATTGCTAGGCACCAGGCTCGAATCGCGCGACAAAAGAGCCACCGCCAAAGCCGCCGAAGCTCTCGAAGCCCTCCGCGCCGAACCTAACCGACTCCCTGCCGCCGATCTACAAGCGGCTATAAAACTAACAGATCAAACCCCCTCCGATAATGGGCCTACGCGATACTCGCCGCGCGAGAGCGAGGCCTTCGACGATGACCGCGACGATACCCAACAACCGGCCTGGTTCAGCGCGGCAAATACCCAGAAACCCATTCGACCCTCAATAAGTCGCCGACGCCAGGGCCTAGCACAGCAAAATCTCCAAGAACAAGCGACCGACGACGAGGACCTCATCTCCTTCCCTCGTCTGCACTCAAATCCCACAGCGGCCGGCACGGGCACCAGTCCTAAAATCGGCTCTGCAACTGGTTTGCACATCTCCCCGCCATCCTCCAACTCGGCTTCTTTTTATTCGCTCCAACCTCAGCCCGAACCGGCATACCTGCCCGTCCACCGACACAAGTCCTCGCCCCTGGTCACACATCCGGTTGAGATGAAGAGCAGTCCCGATGTGGACGTGGACTACTCCGAGACCGAATGGTGGGGCTGGATTATACTGGTTGTGACGTGGCTAGTCTTTGTTGTGGGCATTGGGAGCTGCTTTGAGGTCTGGAGCTGGGCTTGGGATGTTGGGGAGACGCCCTATGCGCCGCCCGAGTTGGAGGATGATCCGACTTTGCCGATTGTCGGGTATTATCCTGCACTTATCATTCTCACGGCTGTCATGTCTTGGGTTTGGGTTGTTGTCGCATGGGTGGGTATGAAGTACTTCAAGCATGCTAATATATCTGGCGAGGATATTTGATTTTCTTCTCTTTGTTCTAGCGCATACCATATTATAATACCCTTCTTCTTGTGAGCGTTAAATGCCATATTTTTCAATGATTCCGTGGGGTTTTGTGGTTGGCTGACTGTGTTGACAACATTCGATGGCCAATACATATAGGCTGCGCAAATATTACAGCTATATTGCTGCCACTGCAATATCAGTTTCTGGACATGAGCGACAAAGAGGCATAAGCATCGCTAGAATTATTCCCAGCAAACAATCTTGCTGTCGTGTCCTCATATGTACGACCATCTAGTCTATAAACTATGTACATACCGAGGGGCATGTATAATCACAAATTTGCAACGTCCAACTTCCTCAAGCGCAACATACTATCCTGCAAAGAAGTCGCTAGCAACGTCCCATCAGGGCTCCAAAGATGACTCTCATGCGTCCCCCTGTTCTCCGTAGCCCGAGGCGTCCAACCCTCCTGCACAAACCACTTCATAGGCAACTCACTCAGACCGCCAACATCGCCATCTCCAATACACTCCCAATCAATCATCCGCAGAGCCTCCCCATGCTGATGCACAATAACCGTAAGCGTAAGACTCGCCATCTCAGTCCAGTGCTTGATCCCCAGCGCGCGCGGAATCAAAAGAAGCGAGTTCTTATCACTGGAATACATATGCGCACACGCATACAAATTATCATATTCCCCGTTCTCTTCCCTCTCCCGGATCTGCGCCAAACTCGCAGCAGGGTCCTCATCCGGCGATCCTTTGAGCCGGTACTGCGTTAGCTGGCGATATCGGTCAGGATGTTGCTTGACATTCTCGGCGCGGTTAAAATCCTTCATATCAGTCTTGCGTACGTCTAGACCGGGAAACTCGTGCTCGGAGATGTTCCCCTGTTGCACGGCATCGATCCACCAATCTGCGTCCACGCTGGGACTGGGAGGCTGGTCTTCTGGTCGTTTTGCCGAGAGGATTGAGTCGAAGCGCGCTTGTGCTGATTTCGGCTGGTGCTGGAAGAGACGCTGCTTCTCATCACGCTTGAAGGAGCATATGCACGAGAAGCAGATTCTGCCTGCTTGTCTTGCGTCGACGGCTCGTGCGCTGTACATGAATCCATCGCGGATATGTCGCACTGTGTACACGTATGGCGTGTCGAGCCGTCCCGCTAGGATGAATGTACCCGTCATATCCTGCCGATATGTCAGTTTGAGGTTCTTTGAGGGAAATTCATGTATAATATCTTACGTGAATCACTAAACCCCGACCGACGGTCTTGGACGCTGCATAGGCTGCTTGGGCGTAGACATGTCCGCCGAACGAGCGCGTTCCTTGACCAGGATTAAAAGGTATTGCCAGCGAGCGAAACCGCTCAATCTTCTCTGGTCCGGTGGAGTCGGGATACGAGATCAAGGCATCTTCGAGTCGCTGCAGCGACATCAACTCAGTGAAAGAATGCGGGGAAGTCAGCTCGCCGTCATTGTTCGGGGCCCTTCGTTGCGGAGACATAGCGCGAAAGAGGCAAGAGGCGAGTTGATTTAGGCCCTTTTCTTCCCAAAGAGTACAAGCAGTGTGAAGCAGTTGCTTGTCGACAAGGGTGATTGTTCTGCGGGCCGGTGGTACCTGTCCGATCAACAACAACAGCCTCTGAGCGGTCGTGGTATATGAAAGTAGGATTAAGGATCTGAGCCTTATACAGTATTCTGTTCTTTAACGGAAAACCGGTAGGATTGTCTTGTGGGGAGTAGAGGTGAATAGATTTGATAATGGATGTATGGTGATTGGTACCGAGTACATACCCCGGACTAAGAGACGGGACCGGCCGGTGCCTCGGCTTGTCAGTTTGACTCACGACCCTATGATAGTTAGTTAGTACAACATAGGGGTGAATGTTCTAAATGTAAATATTTCGCATAAAGTAATTCAGTCTATGACTTCTGAATCGACTATCTATGTATATATTAGCATGCTTAGTCCAAATTCAGCGCTCAGGACTGATCGGCTGAATACATTTCGGCTGGAGCGCTTTGCTCCAGGTTTGCATAAATCGAACCACGGTGGCGTTCACAGGGTGCGGCATGTCGATCTCTATAATACATGGGGTTCCTTTGCCATGCTCGCCGTTGCCATCTGTCATGGAGCAAGAATGGAGGGAACAGGAATTGTATAGTAACAGCCACAAAATAGACTTGTAGATCAAACTGGTATTTTATACAATATGCGCCGATTTTGCTGATAGGTTCGAGTGGCAGTTTCCTATGCCCGTGCCATAATAATACAAAGAACAAAAAAAAGTGCTGGAAACTAAATCACGCTCCCAAATCTGATATCAATAATCAACCAAACTTTCGTCGAAAAGATCACGTCGATTAGATCTGCTCGGTAATGGTGGAAACGTTGTTCCACTCGACCTTGCCCTCGATATCCTTGATCTCTTCGAGCTTGTCGCCGAGTTTGACCACGGAAAAGTTGATCATACGCGGGTCGAGGCCGAGAGTACGGCGGATAGATGACTGGACAGAGCCGGAAGAGTCGAAGCGCATGATGAAGTGGTGACCTTCAGTGTATCGGGCCTGGTGTTTCGTGGTGACCTTGGGCAGACGGAAGGCGCCCCAGTTGGTGTAGCCGCGAACGACGCCGCCGGAGCGGATGACTTGGGTACCGGCATTACGGGCGATTCTGCAGTAAAATCATCTATATTAGTATTCGACCGGTTCTGATGATGGAGACCGCGGCGATGGTGTTGGTTCAGACGTACTCTCGCACCTCGTTGAGGCTGCCCGGGCGGACCTGTTAGCAGAGCGGTTAGCAAATCCAAACATGTCTTTGAGTGTCAATATGACAGCTTCGATGGAACTAAAGCATACAATGGCAATTAGCTCGTACAACATGGCATCGAGGGTTGGCGCGAACTAGAGACAGAAATGGAGCAATAACCATTTGAAGCCAGCAAAATCCGACGAGGTTAGCGCGTTGCTTATCGTAGTCTTGGCATTTTGTTATCGGGGAAATGCCGTCAACGAAACTCCGCCGGAGAAGCGCATCACCTTCTTTCCCTTCTACTTAAACTCTCTCCTCTTCTCATTTCACTTTCCACGCTTCTTATTCCTTTTCTCTATACCTAAAAATGTCCTCTGTCGCTCGCGCAATCCGCCCCTTTGCTTCCCGGGTCATTTCCCAGAAGCCTCTTGCATCCGCCTGCCAGGTTTTGCCTGCTTTCCGTTTCCCGCGGGGAACTAGGAGCTTCTCCCAAAGCCCTCTCTGTGAGTACCATGAACACCCAATGCCCCTAGATGCTGTCTAGGACGATGTAAAACATATTTGGACCGGCATTGGAGCATCACGATTCCTCAAACATGCTCCATGATGTTACATTTTACTAACGGCGCACCAATTCGCAATTATAGCCCAGGTGAAGAAGTACACAGAGTCACACGAATGGATTGAGCTGGCCGAGGGCGGCAAGACTGGTTAGTGAACAACCACCTCGATCAATTGGTCCCACACACCTGCTTTTCATCCATTGAACCGGTGCCAGGTGTATATGGCCTTCAATAGTATACAGAATATGGAGCAGCGAGCTAACTAACAGACTCTCTACAGCCAAGATCGGTATCACCGAATACGCCGCCCACTCCTTGGGTGATGTCGTCTATGTAGAGCTCCCCGAGGTCGACCTCGAGATCGTTGCCGGCGAGCCCGTCGGCGCTGTCGAGTCCGTCAAGTCTGCCTCTGATGTCCTCTCCCCTGTCGCCGGCAAGGTTATCAAGGGTAACAGCGTCCTCGAGGATAAGGCTAAGACCATCAACGAGAGCCCCGAGGGTGAGGGTTGGATCGCTGAGATTGAGGTCGCTGATGCTGCTGAGCTCGATGCGTTGCTCGATGAGGCTGCCTACAAAGAGACTATCGATGCTTAAACTTGTGGAGTGATTGATCTTGATTCGTAATTTATAAATGCCTGTCTGGAGCTAGATTGGTGAATTTCTTCTTTAACTGATGTTATGTTGTCATGTATGACCAATGGTGACCAATTTCCTTCAACGAGAGCGTTTAGATCTTGTCGATCCGTAAACGGATCGACGAACTGTTCAACAAGATTTCTGTATATGTGGACGGATAGTTGTTTTATTTCCTTGTAGAGAAACCATAGTCCATATATCTAGGTGGATGTATATTTAGAGCTAGATCACGCATATCCCAACAGTGGAATGCAGGTCTGTGTACGGGAAGATGATATCATGTATGAGAAGCATTACAATATAAGCTATACAGGAGGGATGGATTCACGACAGATCGGACATTGGAGGCGAAGTCTCATCCAGCTTTCCAGACAGGCAGTGTGGAATATATGACGACAAGGAGTGACCATATATAGCCGGCGACTCAAGATGCTTGCGGCCCCATCGGTGACGCTACTTCCACCAGAAGCAGAAGGCGCGGGAAGGACAGGAACCTCGATATCCTGCATGCAAATAGCACAGTCGAATATGGCCTTCTTGCGGTCTTTCCGCTGCTTATCGTCATCCTTCGAATCACTGACCAGATCTCGCTCATCACCGCGCAGGGATGCAATCGACAGAACGCCACCACCGGCTTCGAGATCCTCGTCCGCTCCGGATAAATCGCGCAGCATGGGATGGTAATCGTATGCATGCGGTGCCCAGCCACGAGGCACAAAGAAGCGTGGCCCGAGAACGTCCTGGCTGACCAGGATCCAAGCTTGAATCCACACCCATCCAGTCATGATGAATGCGCTTGTGTAGTCGGGGCGGATAAACAACACGTTTCCCCGTGCCGTGAGAAAGTACAAGAATGGGAAGAGTCGGAGAACACTTTGGCCGGCAACAAAGTCCCACCGAAGAGCCTTGCGGCAATTTCGCATCGCGTTGCGGTAGATCTGTGGAACCCAGAAGGAGAGATAAACTGCTGCCAAGAAGCGGGTGTAGATCGAGCCGAGACGTCTCGGCAGGAGGAATGCCCAGATTGACAGGATGAGCATGCCAAATAGCGCAAGATAGAACCGTGCGTACATTGTTCCTACGTCGCTGCGGATTTGCCTTGGAGTTGGGGGAGTGGCTCGGGTGGTTGGCGGCGGCGAGTCCATCTCATCGTCGGGGGCATCTTGGTCGGGTGACAATATGATTGGTGTCGCTCCCGAGTCTCGTACTTCCGGAGCAGTGGCAGGCAAAGGCAAAGTTCCAGGGCGAGTTGTTGGAGTTGATGGATTGGGCGGACGATCTTGCTCTCTTCTTTCTGGCTCTTGCACTGCCCATATTTCCATCATGAACTTCATTCCAATATAACTCACCGATAGGAACGCCAAAAATGATGCAGTAGCCAAAACTAAGAAAGATACTGCCGCATATAGTTCCAAAACAATGAATGTCAAAACAAATGCATCCCCGAGCGCCATCAATGCGATGGTATAGAAGCTGATCCGACTCCGGGTAGAAGGAGTCGAAGCCTCTTTGATCTGTCGAAGAAGTAGGGTGATCTGTGCAACAAAAACACCTGAAACCACAAAAATGAGACGAGATGCATATTTACTGTACTCTTCATGCTTGGGCCCAGTCACATATAATGAATCAGAAGGAGGAAACTCAGGGGTTCCTTTCGTTTGAAGTATGTACCCGCAGTCTGGGGAGAAGACAACAGCAGACATGACCATAAGAGGAGGATCTGGGATTGGCGCTCCCATAGGATATCTGAGCTCTTGCTCCATACGCTCCAATAACGATCGGTCAGCAACGGCATCTTCGAGCATGACTGGATGCTGCTGCAAGTAGATGATATGTTCACATTTGGGCGCAGGGAACTCCATCTGCTCTGTTCCTGCCAGAGAGGACCAGGGGAACAGTGTTGGGGGTCGATTTTGCTTCTCCGAGATGGTGTCCGACAGTGACTTGAGAAGAAGCTCGTGTGACAGTTCGTAAGTGTCAGAAGATAGCATGAAATGCGGCAACGAGAAGATGCCGCCAAATTTCTCACTAGAAGTAGTCAAAACGATACTTCCGGTGTCCGGGAAGTGTACACCTAACAACGAGATATACCAGGTACTTCCCCAGAAGTCCTCGCTCTCGACCGTCAAAGTGGCTCGCATCTCTCTTAAGAGTCCATCGCCCATCTGAAGCTCTTCACCACCTCCCTCTTCAAGATCAAAATAAAAGGTGCCGCTATTGCCAGTGATATTATGACTGAATTCATGAGTAAAGTATTCGTGTTCTTCAGCGATGGCTGTCGTGTTCAGGGGTTCACGGCGATGAACACCTTCAGTTAGCCGAACCCAGTCTCCCCGCAGCTTCCCGGTTGAGTTGCGATATACCGGAAGCAGAAGCTTGGTCAAATTCAAAGTAGGCGAGACAATGGGGTCTTCTAGACCGTCCGGGGATTCTAACCCGGCATTTGAGACCGCTGATTGTAACTGGTGGCGAGCCAGGCCTTTGACCTGCGGGAAAAGGTCCCAAGCATAGCTGTCATTCGCTCTTGAGCCCGAAAAAGGAAGCCATCGTTTGGCGGGCGGATCGAAGTCGCCATATTTTGACCCATTCAATAACCGAAGGACCTGTCGCTCATGGTCAAGCTCACGTTGCCGTGCCCGATCTTCATCGATCAATGGCGGTCGAGACTGGGAACTGAAGAGAAGGTAGAACACCAGCACGAAGAAGAAAAAGGAGCCGCGGTTATCCATCTATGCCACGCAGTCTCGGCATCGGACTCTTTTCTCAAAGACAGACAATAAGCATCTCGATAAAGAGAAACAAAAAAGATGCGAGAAGGAGGCGGGGAGCTCGGCTAAGTTACAGAGGGAACAAACAGAAAAGAACTAATGAATGACGAACGCAGTATAAGAAGGTGTCTACGGAGCGGAGTTGATGATGTACTCGACCCCGGGGAGCCTGCCCGCCGGGCACCCACTCCTTGCTGACTCATGACGCCTCAGGCATGATGGATGGGTCGATATCAACCCTGGAAACGTTCTACTTCGGGATTTATACCCCGTGAAATTAAAAATAGAGATGGACAAATTGTTTCCTATCTGACCATTCTTAGCCAGAATTTAAAACAGATCAAAAAGATAAAAAATGCCAATGCATTTTATGGCAAGAATTGTCCACTAAATGCGAAGACCCGAATGCTTGATATCAAACCGGTTGAATTTTGGTACAAATAGAAAAACGCATACACACAACGACCATCTGAATCATAATAGCTCTCTGCTTTATGATGCAGCAGCCAGGACACCACCCTCGGGCTTCGCATCCCGCCGCCGACGCTTCTCGAGAATGGCCTCACGGCGCTGTGCAAGCATCTTCAGTTGTCTGCTCTCAACACCCTGAAGCCAGTAACCAAAGCTTCCACCAACGCCGGCGAAGAGAGGGTAGACCCAGAGGGATTCCTTGGCAAGGATCGGACGCATCTCGATACCGAGTTGCCAAAGGCGAACGGCAATGCCTGTCGGATCAACACGGTTAGTTCCAATGGCATATAAATAAATCGAACAATCGTGCTACCAAGCAGCGTGCTCTTGTGATAGATTGAAAGCTTGGGAAGGAGATGTGACGTACCGAAGCCGCCCCAGAAGAGTACTTTGTGAACCATGATCGCAGTCGAGCGCGGGGTTGTGGTTGTATTTCGGGTGCTGATGGGGATCCGAGAAAGAGTTTGGGAAGGCGGATGGGTTGACTGGTTGATTCAACACCACAGCAGCCGGGATAATTGGGGGCGGAGATAGATGTTGCCGTCGCAATAGTCCAGGAGAGACGAGGTTGAAGCAAATCAACGGGCCGCAGTTCCCAAGCACGGAACAACCATTCTTCCGGTCACACTTGTTATCGCTTATCGCTCGCGCGACTTCGACTTCCAAGATTGTCCAGGCCAACTATGGCTTCTGATGAGGCAATGGATGATTCTACAGCTAAACGGCCTATTGATATCGAGAGCGTGAAGCGCAAGAAGTTCAAGACCGATGACCTTCCCTTGTCTGCGGCGCAACATGCGGTCATTGACAAACTCTTACATTCATTCAAGAAGAAGGGTGGCTTTGATAGTGTCCGAAAACAAATATGGGCTGAATTCAATGACGGAGTATGATATATTATTTACATGTTTTTCCGCACCATGCTAATCCTATACGAACAGGAACTTCGAACCGATTTTACCAACAAGTTAGTCGCACTTGCAGAGTCAGCGATCGATCGCGAGCCGGCACTGCTGTCCCGCGAAAGAGGAAAGGCAGCGACACTCATTGAGGGCGCGGTGGACCGCGGTGATGTCTACAAGAGCGTGGAGGGCTCCATCGACCAATTAGCATCCAAACACCTGGATTTCATCCTGGAATCTGTTCGTGAGATCCGATGTCAGGACGTTGGAGAGGACGTGGCTGCCCGTGAACTCGAGCTAGGGAACAAAACCGATGCAGATTACGAAGCCTACGTCAGCTCCCAGCGGGAGGAGCGGGAAAAAGTGTGGCGCGAAGAGGAGCGCAAACAGAGAGAGATTGAGGAAGAGGAAAAACGCATCAGGGATGAAGAACGCAAAAAGAAGCGTGAACTTGAACGACAGAAAGACGAAGAAGATCGGGCCCGAAGAAAGGAAATTGATGAACAGAGGCGAGCTGATCGGGAACGCCAACGCGAAGAGCAACGAATACTCGACGAGCAGCGAGAGCGAGAGCGAGAGGGAAGATACGAGCGACGAAGGCGTGAAGATAGGGAGCGATATCGAGGCTGGGACCGCGACCGCAGTCGAACTCGAGATAGAGACCGTTTCCGTGATCGCTCTGACCGTGGGTTATCCCCTAGGCCCCGGGATTCAAAACACGACAAGTCATCTACATCGAATGCTCCCACTCCTGTGCTACCGCCTCTTGTGGATGAGAAGTCACTCGAGGAGGCTGCTTTGCAAATGCTATTGAAAGAAGGCGAAGAACTTGCAGCCAAGGCTCGACAGAAGCCCGAGTTTGACTTTGAAGAGGCTGAGGCTATTGAAAATGGACTGAAACCGCCAGTATCAGCGTTAGGGCCGGCCAAGACTGCCAATGATTCAAGGTTTTCTAATACGATGTCTACGAGAGCGGCCAGCATATCCCGAGATTCTAACACGAGGCGTGGTTCTCTTGCAGACCGGGGTGATCGGTCCCGACATTTGACTCGGGATCGAAGCCGTAGTCGCTCGCGTCGACGACGCACCTCACGTTATGACACAGATCGCCGACGTGAACGGTCTCGGGATACTTCTGTGAGGTCTCGAGATCGTGATATGGATGCGCGCCGTGGCTACCGCGACTTCCGGGATGACCGAGGTGGTGGAAGCTACAGACCAAGCCGTCGCAGCCGCAGTCGATCCGCCGGCCGGGACCGCAGTGTTGGCCGCGACCGAGACCGCAACCGAGACCGAGATCATGACAATTATCGTCCTCGGCGCAGTCGGCCCTCTCGCTCACCTGTACGCCGACGTTCTCGCAGCCGCTCGCGCTCGCACCCCCCTCGTGCTCGTGACCGTCCTCGGTCACGTTCTCGATCTACTCGACGGCGATCTCGGTCTCGGCGTCGCTCGCCTTCTCCTACCCTAGATATTGACCGCTACGTCCCCTCCACCAGCAACCGGAGCAAGTCACCCCGCCGCCGGGTCCGATCTCCGGAGCGAGAGCGTGAACAGCGACCCCGGTTAGCCGATATTGACCGTTACAAACCTGTATCTGAACGAGATAAGGGTCCGACTCAAGCAAAAGAGGGAGATCCTGAGGTTGACATAGAAAAAGAGAAGGAGAAGGAGAAAAAAAAAGAGAAAGAAAAAGAGAAAGAAAAAGAAAAAGAGAAAGAGAAAAAGAAAGAGAAAGATACAGATGATCGCCGACCTCTTCGACGAACCCCTAGTCGCCGAAGGAGTCCTAGCCGACGAAGAAGCCCAAGTCGACGACGAAGTCGCAGCCGCAGAAGGAACCGGAGCCGATGATTTTTATGCACCTTTTTTGCCATGTATGAAAAGACCAGGGAGACTTTTGCTTACAATTAGAAAAAGATTTTCGCTATTGACGCCGAAAATGACCGCTTTTGAGGCCAGAAACGGCTGCCTTTACACCCGTAACTTTGGACCACTACAATATTCTACACCCGCCCAGCACTGTTAGCCATCCTCTAGCCCTGATGTTGACGCTCGACTTGTACAGTTAGTTGTTCCCTGCGTTTCTAACAAGATGAAGCCTTCTTCCATACGTAGCCTTAGCATCTTTCAAAAGAAGGGTGGTAAATGGTTAAACTGCTTCGACCTGGACGGTTATTAAAGTGAGTGCGTCTATGCGATCTCTCCTCTGTGCACAAGACTGTTGTGATAGTTTTCCCAGTCAATACTCAAGTCCTTCCCTTTCCATCCCTCGCTCCCAAACGCCAAGCAGCACGGAAAAGCTAGCAACAGTTCTAGGTCTGGGGCCTCAGCTGTTCTTTCAATGTCCATTTGTCACATCTGTGGCCCGGTTGGCCTTTCCGCTCATCCTGTATATCCTCGCAGCGCCTGACCAGCAGTTCAAACAGACGTTCTATTTCATCCAACTGTTTTGCTTCCCGCGCCCTCCACTCAGTTGACTCCAAATGACTCGGGTCAGGACAGAAGTCGGCATCCATCCAGCCACCTAGATACAGCACCCAGCTGCCTGACATTGTCCGCGCGGGAAACACGAAGTCATGTTTGACACGGTATGCCACGCCATGGCTGTATAATAACTCGACGTAGGAGCGAAGCTTCTGTTTCAGTTCGAGCAACCTGTCAAGGCCGAACTTCTCAGCTTCCAGAGAGTGTAAAAAAGGGTTCCAGTAGAGCTTTGGGGTGCTGAGCATAATGACGCCAGAGCTGGGATCCGCTTTAACAATCCGCGGAGCATGGTCGACGAGGGCGGGGATCCTGGAGACAGCGGTTATGACGGAAAATTCGCGCTCATAAGAAGCAGGATCATCCAGGGGATGCTAGATGTAGAGTTAAATGTAAGGATATATGACTAGGATATTGGGGCGAGGGGAGACAGACCGTGTGAATCAGCAGATGCTCAGGACTTCCCTTTCTAGCTCGTACTGCTGTTTGGCCGACCTTAGACTCACGGGTAGAGGCTTTCACGACGGCTCCCGTTAATACAGCACGACGCCCCATGGTTGATTTGTGGAGATGGCGATCTGGCTTCTGTCGCTGTGACAGGTCTTCCTTTGGTTCAGACAGCCGCAACTGCCGGAGCTTCTGTGACGGAGGGCTTTGCATTGTTAATTTATTGATAAAATAAGACGCGGTCGATGTGGATTCAGTGGATGGCAGATAATCGATAGCAGATAAGCTTATCCGTTATCAGTTCTCCACCCAAAAAAGTTGAAAAATGCCCAGACTCGCCAACTTCCACTCTTTCAAGACAGCCGAAGACACTGAGATCATTTAACCATATAAAAAAAATTTATATCTTGGCAGCACGCATTCAAGTTGCTAAACCCCACATCAGCGCGTCACAATCTTTCAAAATCTCTGCTACCCCCAGCGAACCGCATACCTCCAACATCGAAACCATGCCAAACGCAACGATAAGATCTGAGGCTGCTGCAAGCAATCCCTCTCCACAATCTTTAAACCTAGCAGACCGCACTGCGCCCCGTCGACAGCGCGCCAGCTCTGTTCAATCATCTGACTCCGACCCAACCTCCTCCTCAGGCTCATCTTCAGAAGATGACAACGAGAGCGAAAGGGAAGACAAACAACACTCCGACCAGGAAATGAATGGCACCGAGGAGTCGACCACCCATGCAAATGCCTCTGATCCATCCTCAATACCCCACATCGCCGGCCGCCCGAAACCGCGCATACATCGTATTAGAGGCGACTCGGGACTTTTGTCGCGGCTCAACGCTTTCTTGCCAAAGATGAAAGATGCAAATGAGAATTTGCAGAAGCAGATTGAAGCTGGGGAGGCTGGAGATCTGGTTCTCGATAATGCGGACGAAAATGCAGAGCAATATATTGAGATGGTAAGGCTTATTGATTGTGCTTATAGATTGTGATGGGGTTTGCTAATGGATTTAGGATCTTGGTCTTGGGGTTTTGGAAGAGAAACGCGATGGTGATTCTTCGAGTGATGAGGAGAGTGATGACGAAGGGTCTAATGGTGTCACTGGTACTGGGGAGACCCCTCAAGAGATGAATGACTCAGATATTATTGGGAAGCTTATGGGAGGCAAGAGTAAAAAGTTGAATACGGACAAGCCGTCCATCGAGGAGATGGCTTAGTAGGCATTTGTTCGTTTGATTTGGTGGTGATTTGCATTATTTATAACATTTTTGGTGGAGATGCGCGGTCTTGATTCAATCACGATTGACATTTGCATTGTCCTGGGCTCCCTGTTATCATTTAGCGTCTAATGCTTTTTTTTTTCCTTTACAGAAGTGGCCCAGACCAATCGCATGCACAAAGACACACATACATTCATTCCCTATGTATGCAACTCATCAGGAATCAAGTCTAGATAAACAGATATGGAAGAGAAAAAAAAATCTGTAAAACAAAACATGAGCATATCGCGGATCCCTATATATGCATGAACCCATCATACACTATGACCGAATGACATTATTAAAAAGTGATATATTTTGCGTTTCACCATCTTGTTTCTTAGACCACTTCCTTGATGCGGCAAGTCCAGCCGGATTCCTGGCTCAGAAGAGGCAAGCTTTAGCAGGTCAGTATACTGATTAGAAAGAGACGGCAAGGAGTGAACTAACCTCGCACCAAGACACCAACCCAGCTCGTTGTTTTTGATCTTCTTGGCGATCCTGACCTCGCGGGACAAGGGAATTTCGTAACCGGTGTGCAGCAGAACCATCATGAAGCTAAGGTCCATACACCATTCCGGACGATCCCGAAGCTGTGCAAGCGCATTATCCTCACCCTCGAACTTGACACTTTCGAATGCCTTCCATTCACTCTCACCAGCACAAACGGTGGAGGTCAGCTGGTTAAGCTCATTCAGAGTGAAAGATTCCGGCATGCCAAGTGGAGCCGTGCGGTCGAAGAAATAAGAGAATATGTACAAGTCCTCTCGGGCGAAAGTCTTTGCGAGAGATGGCTGGTGCACACCGTTGAAAGAACAGGGTGCAAGCTTACACTCGCCGCTCTTCTTCAGAATCTTCTCGGCGATAGCACGGCACTGGGGGGTCATAGACTTGTCCTTCGGGCCAACCATGCTCACTTCGACTTCAGGCCCCAGCGGATGATCAGCGGGGAATTTCAGCTTTACTGTCTTCGCCATTCCTGGGCCAATGCAGGGGTTGGAGATAGGCTGCTTAACCCAGGAAAGGTCCTTGGGGCTCTGAGCTAGCATCGCCTCCACGACCACGGTGTTTATGGCCGTGCGAGCAGACATGAGACCGTATCCAAGATGAGAGTGTTGGTACAGCTCGAAATGGCGGCCACCAAAGTTGAGGTCATACTTGTGGTCACCGGGAGCAAGACGCTCCGGCATACCACCAGCCTTGCTCTGCTCGAATGTAGGTTCGAAGACAATCTGAGTGGAACCGCCACCCAGATCAAAGACAGCGGCCGTAGGAGTCTCATCCGGGCCACCAATCTTGCCCAGCAGGTAGTTGGTTGTAATCCAAGCGTAGACACCTTCCTTTGAACCATCCATGATCTCGACACCACCTCTCTCCTTGGAGACAACGGGGAAGGGGTAAACGGTCTCTAGACGGTGTCTAACGGCTTCCAAGATCTTGTCGCTCTCTTCAGGACCTAGAAGACGAAGTCCGGCCGTGGCCTTGACGGCAACCGGAGAGCACGACCTGTACTCCTCGGGGACCGACTTCACAGCGACCTCCATAAGAGGGTCCAGACTCAGAGCTGCACCCTCGGCATCCTCTCCAAAAGAGCTGAGACCGGAGGAGCCTCCCTCCTTCTTTTTCGTTTGTTCGAACACTTCATTCTCAAGTTCTGGGGTAGGGCCGCAGTTGTTGAATCGGTATACATGAATTCGGGACCCAGTGCTGCCGGCATCAATCATGAGAGCGTACTGAATAAGAGGCTTGGATGAATCAAATGGCTTGGTGCATACTCTCGAAGTGGACGCGTCACTGCTTGAAGGTGGTTGCTCTGCCAAATAATCAGTCCTGCGAACGGAAGCGCGCGCAAGGGGAACACCAACCGTTGGTAAGATTTGAAGCGCTCGGCTGTGAAGGGGAGAGCCACACTAGGACCATAAAGATGAACGCAATAATTGCCCCCGTCTTCAAGTAACGCGATCTCTGAGTCTGTGCCATGTTGACGGGTTGTTTGTCGGAGAATTGACTGGACTTAATAGACTGCCAAATAGCAGGTCCGTCGCTGTTGGAGATGGAGCGGTGGCGGGTGGCCGAATCTATGTAGTCGGATTTGCTGTTAGGGTTTTGATTGTCGACTCCAGTCGACATTCGAGCAGTTGTCAAATTATGAGGGTGCAGTGACAGGTGGCGTTTGTTGCTGGCGCAAGAATGGTGAAACGATTGTATGGGGTTAAGAGGAATAATGAAACAAGTAAGTAACCATTGATCCCGATGTCCTCCAAGAACACCAAGCCAGCCTAAGAAAAAAAGTGGATGGATGTAAAGAGGGAAAGTCTCAGGAGAGAAAGGAGATTCAGGGTTTCATGGTTGTGGCGCAGATGTGGCGTTGAATGCATGCATGGATGTACATACAACATAGTACTCCGTACATACCACGGGGAACTTCCAGTATTTACGCACACTAGGAATGCTAATATACAATCATAGCATCTTTCTATTCTACTAAGTCTAAAGTATTTTTCCTTCTAAAATCAAAGTGAAGAAGGATAAGCAAGTAACGTAATGATTTTACAATTCAATCAAGTTGGCGGTGCAAGCTACATACGTATACTTGAAGGATTGAGTGCTATATACACGAAAGACAACAGAACAAAGTTGAAGTGTACTCAGCTTCCTATAGTGTACTCCGTACAGCTCGCATTGTTAGCGCGTATAGGGATTATTTATTGCCAGTGCGCCCCGACTCTTGAATTGAGGGAGCAACTCACATTTTCCATGTGTGTATTAAGGCAGCTAGCTGTTTTAGACTACACGCCGGATGCCGGATATGCTTGTTAATGTAGTGAGCCATCATAAATTGGCCGGAAGCATCTAACCTTTCAAGGTTGGTATGTAGGTAGATACCTACCTAGTCCGGCCCACCTGGGCAGTGGTTTACTAATGTTTGTTGTGTTTGCATCCTGGATAGCCATACTGTTCAACTTACTCCCTCTCTCCTCACAGGCGAGCTTGCCAACCTTCTACAACTCCTGCTACGTTTTCCGCTACCAGCCGACAATATGAATCACACACGCAGTTTCATATCATCCGCCCAGGCCCTACGCCAGATCTTCATCGCACCCGTTCGCACCTCCAGAGTCCGCATTCTTGCGTTCAGTCCTCTTCAGAATGCACCCCAGACTCGGTTTTTTCAACAATCCCATTACCTAGAGCTTCGAGCATACCGACCACCCGTTGAAAAGCCCCCGATAAACGAAGCTATCCGTGCGTCGTTTGTCCAAGTTGTGAACGACGAAGGTGACCTCGACCCTCCCACCAGACTAGAGGATGTCCTTGAAAGCTTTGACCACACCGAGTTCTTTCTTCTCCAGGTGCAAGAAGGAGACCATGACAACCTGCCAGTTTGTAAGGTCTACAATAAGAAAGAAGTGCGAGCACACGAAAAGGCCAAATCAAAGTCAGCTCGCGAATCCAAGGTTATATTCAAACAAATTGAACTGAACTGGGCAATCGATGCCCATGACTTGTCGCACCGCCTGAAACAACTCTCCACCTTTTTGGAGAAAGGCCGCAGGGTGGAAATCCTATTGACCACCAAGAAGCGCAAGCGCAATCCCACAGTGGATGAGATCAAACAGGTCATGCAGAGTGTTTTGGACACAATCAGAGAGGCCGGTGGAACTCAGACCAAGGCAATGGAAGGTGAACCGGGGAAGCAACTTAGGATTACCGCACAGAAGAATATCTAGCGGAGAGGACTGCTTACATGTATACTATATGGCATTGAACTGTACGACAACATGACATCGCTGTGTCTCATCACTGTTGGACTATTCTTTGGGTCTACTCGCACATACCTTGGAAGTAGCCCGGAGAGCTAAGGCCGTTGGAACTCTCCGTATTGAGACACAATTGCCACACATATCACCATACAATATTCATAAAATTGATGTTTCATTATCTCCATTTCCAGGCTAGGTATTCTGCCCGCAATTCGAGGCCTATGATTGGCTGATGACTAAGCTGTCCTGAGATGGGTCCATCCATCCCGGAACCCATCTTACTAGAAAATTTGGTGTTGACCTGGGCTTCTTCTTTCCCATCCTTACTCCATCTCTTTAATCTTTCCTTTTTGTTCTTGTTCCATCGTTTTATTTATTGAACCAAGATGTCGAGCATCTCCCGTTCATTGAACCTCCTGGCGCGCACTAGCCGGTCCTCCCTGCTGCGTCCGACTACCGTCAACCCCGTCCACCATGTCTTCAGCAACAAGGTGACCGGCCGTGGGTTGGCCACTGCTTTCGAGCGTAACAAGCCCCACGTTAACATTGGTATGATCCTGTCGTTGGCGCATAATCCATCTCCACGCTAAAATGTTATTGCTCAGGTACTATTGGCCACGTCGATCACGGCAAGGTAAGCTATTCGCAACTTGTTCCGACATCTCCGCCATCTTCGAACATGAAATTTAACCCGTCCGCCCATAGACTACCCTGACTGCCGCCATCACCAAGCACCAGGCCTCTAAGGGCCTTGCCAACTTCCTCGACTATGCCTCCATTGACAAGGCCCCTGAGGAGCGCAAGCGTGGTATTACCATCTCGACTGCCCACATTGAGTTTGCGACTGAGGACCGTCACTACGCCCATGTCGACTGCCCCGGTCACGCCGATTACATTAAGAACATGATTACCGGTGCTGCCAACATGGATGGTGCCATTGTCGTCGTTGCTGCGTCCGATGGTCAGATGTACGGCCCCCGGTCTAAAAACCTAGTTTGATGAGTGTGCTGACGCAAATCACGCAATAGGCCCCAGACCCGTGAGCACTTGCTGCTTGCCCGCCAGGTTGGTGTTCAGAAGATTGTTGTGTTCGTTAACAAGGTCGACGCTGTCGAGGACCCTGAGATGCTTGAGCTCGTCGAGCTCGAGATGCGTGAGCTCCTCTCCTCTTACGGATTCGAGGGTGAGGAGACTCCTATCGTCTTCGGCTCTGCCCTCTGCGCTCTGGAGGATCGCCGCCCCGAAATTGGTACTGAGCAGATTGAGAAGCTCATGCATGCCGTCGACACCTGGATCCCCACCCCCGAGCGTGATATGGATAAGCCTTTCCTTATGTCCGTTGAGGAAGTCTTCTCTATCCCTGGCCGTGGTACTGTTGTCTCTGGCCGTGTCGAACGTGGTCTCCTGAAGAAGGATACTGAGGTTGAAATCGTCGGTGCCACCGACTCCGGCAACCCCATCAAGACCAAGGTTACGGATATTGAGACCTTCAAGAAGTCCTGTGACGAGTCCCGTGCTGGTGACAACTCCGGTCTCCTGCTTCGTGGTGTCCGTCGTGAGGACATCCGCCGCGGCATGGTCGTTGCTGCCCCTAACAGCACCAAGGCTAACAACAAGTTCCTCGTGTCCATGTACGTTCTGACCGAGGCTGAGGGCGGTCGCCGTACTGGTTTCGGTGCCAACTACCGGCCCCAGGTCTACATCCGTACTGCTGGTAAGTTCAATTTCGACTGATATGATATCAAATCGATATAAGGGATGCTAACTATGCTCTAGATGAGGCTGGTGATCTCAGCTTCCCCGATGGCGACATGACCAGACGTGTCCAACCCGGTGACAACGTTGAGATGATCCTCAAGACCCACCACCCTGTTGCTGCCGAGCCCGGTCAGCGTTTCAACATCCGTGAGGGAGGCCGCACCGTTGCCACTGGTCTGATTACCCGTGTTGTCGAGTAAATGGTCCAGTAAATGATCCGCTCACGCCCTTGGTCAGGCAGGCGAACTGTCTGACCCTTGTATTATGAACCCTTTTTCTTTGACATGTTGTTTGTTTTGGCACCTTTTATTCCACAGCGCGGGAATCATCGATCAGCACGAGGGATCCGGGGTAAACCGGAGTTTTCGCTTGAATCTTGTTCATGTACCTCTACTGTCTTGGAGACAAATGTAGTCGGATTTTCTTTCATTTCTCCACTCTCGTGAAAATGTATTCAGACAAAATTCTTCCTAAACACATATATAATTTCAGTCCAAGTCTCAAGTCAATGTGTACAAGATATTTCGCTGCTGATTTCTTTATATATCGTGAGAGGAACAAACTTAAAAGCTAGGTACATACTTGTAGACTTAATCGAAATACTCCGTACATCAACGCCAAATCGCAGTCCCGTCGATACAAGTTCCAATTGATGTTTCGCCCAGCGCCTGATTGCGTTATCGTTTAAGAATAATACAAACGTTGCGCATTTTCAATTACGCCGTGCGAAATCAGACACTACAATCGACACTATATAGAGTTGAGCAGGATTTGATACTGATATATGGTGCTGTGGACCTTCACAGTACTTATTAATATGTGATGCTACGCTAGTTAGTTAGCATACGATTCGCTGAGGTGGTACGCTATCATAATAGAAATCCATATACGGAGGATAGTATCACTGAATTCTCTCCTCAATTCTCTCCTCCGATACCGGTGCGCGGGTTATAGAATTCAATAGTATATATCGTGCTCCGCGCATCAAGCACTTCATATCTTTATGTTGTATGTTGTAGGTATTTTCTTCGAAGATTGCGGAAGTGTTTCGCATTCTATACCACCATGAAGAATCGAGATGATCTTGGTCCTATGGCCAGTGGTGGGACAGTTGCTGCGACGCCCTTGCAAGCTCAAGATGCACCGACTTATCTTTTTACGTTGTATGATTTTATTCTTACATCAATTGAACGGAGAGAAGCCTAATGACCTACCCAGCGGAGATTCCTACACCCAGACCGATTTCACTGTCGATGGCACACAGCCATGTATCTCAAACCCGATGGGAAAGCCGATACTAGGTGGGTGCTATTCACCTGAACAAGTAGGATTGAAATAATCATAGTGCCAAATAGCGACCGGTACAACGAGCAGTGGTATCAATTGGGTCGAATACTTGACCACTCTATACAATGCCTCGCCGGTACTCAGCCACAACTTCGCCGTTATAGGAGCGACAATCGACAACTCTATTGTCGATAGCAAGGTTAAGGATGTGACATCGCAGGTCCGGGACTTCGAGTTAGCATATAGCAAGAAGCCTATATCTGCACCGTGGTCTTCAGATAATGCGGTGTTTGGGTTTTGGATTGGGATCAATGAGTATCGCGCCTTAATACCCCGTTGTCAGTTATGTTCTAATGCTTCCAATTTATAGCATCGGCCGCGGTCATCAAAACACCCAACCTAGTGTACTTGTACCGACATTAATGGCCCAGTACAAATGTCTCATTGAAAAAATATATGCATCAGGCGGACGGAAGTTTCTTTTCCTCAATGTCCTATGATCACCAAACAGGGACCGGAAGCCGTCAAAACGCACGCTACGTGGGTGAGGGCTTACAATAGCGGCCTTCAATCAATGATCAGTGACTTTAAGTCCAATCACACTGATGTACGTTTTTGATCTCTTGCAGTATGTTCATATAATTAACCTGATCGTAGACTACTATCGTTCTTTACGATACCTGGTCCTTTATGCCGAAAATCCTGGACGATCCTCAGGCATATGGATTTCCGAATGCCACTTGTTTCAATAAGGATGGCACATCCTGCATTTGGTGGGATCATTACCACCCCGGGCAGAACTACCATAAACTGCAGGCAGCAGATATGGTTCAGTACTTGCAGCCTCTCGGTGCTTGGTAGACTGGCTGAGGCGGAGCGAGATGAATAGACGTGAATCACATGAGGGGATCAAAAAACAGACCATAGAATAGATAGCATTGTGAAGAATCCCAAACACAGTCGTATAGATGCTAGACATATATGTGGTAGACGGACTTAGCGGAAGAAGCGTGTAAGTGTTGCCGCTGATTGGCCCGGGCGAAAATATCCCACCACTTCGGCCGAACTTGACGGACGAATATCTATGAGAGCTAACTATTCAACGAGTGTGGACTTCTTTTTTGTTCCTTTGTTTAAGATTACGTAGGCCTGGTTTGACCTCGAGTGCTGCCTTGACTCTTCAGAGCTGTTGCGCCCGCCCCTTTCTCGGCCGTTTTGTCTCTACTCCCGAGATTATTCCTCGCCCAAAGGATGATGCTGTACAACCTCCAACGGTCATTAATCTGATCAACCTCTTTAGCAATATATCGTCGGTTGACAGATGATCTTATCCTTGCCTTTTCACTGTATGGGGTAAGATGAAATCCTGCACAGACCAAGAACCGCGAAAGCGGATGAGAAAGGGGACCAGAAGTTGCACAGAGTGTATGTGTCAAATGATTGATAATTGATATCTCGGCGCTAATAGCGTTCAATTATAGGTCGTCGACGCAAGATCCGATGCACATTCCACCCCAACCGCCCAGAAATTTGTAATGAGTGTCGGTCCAGAGGCATGAAATGTGTTGATCAAGAACATGCGGTCATCACCCCTCCATTATCCGGCTACCAGCGGAATTCCCAACTTGGCGAACAGCCATACAGCCTACGCGAGCGAGTCGCGCACCTGGAGAACCTCGTGGAGCGGTTGACCGAGCGACTTGACCAACGGGACTCTGACACTCCGTCTTGTGAGCACCATGGGATAAATCAATGTTGGTATCTCCCGGATACGTGTGTGTTGATGTCGCGTGACTGACATTAACTAGCGGACAGCATAAATCACCCAAGACCACTGGCTGCCGAGCCAGACGAACTAGGCCCATCCAGTGACCAGATTTGCAATGCACCAATACTACAACTGTTCGACAACTATATCGTGAGCCGCCAAGAGGACTCGTCAAATAATGATAAATTCACCGGTGTTCATGATATGTCGCCAAAGGCCGAAGCGGTGCGTGCCGAACTCATGTCTCTCCTTCCTCCCGCAGAAGATATGAATAAGATAATCAACGTGTCGTTCCACTGGTACGTGTGGCAAGATCATCTCCCAGAGCTGTTCGGTCGACATGTCGGCAGACTCGCTTTTAATGAAAATTGTCGCGATAATCTAGTGGCTCCCGCCGAAGTCGCCAAGGCACTCATGTGTCTGTGTATCAGTGCGAGTCATGCCCCGTCTGAATTCGACTTCGGTACTTTAACCGTACCTTTTGAGCCTCAGAAATTCTCTGATCAATGCATTGAGATGGTGGACCGTTTAATCGTCCGTGATGACAACTTTGCGGCTACCCTGCCCGGTATAGAATGTCAGATGTTGCTCCACAGAGTTCATTTGACTGATGGCCGGCTCCGGAAAGCTTGGCTAGTGATTCGTCGGGCAATCGAGTTTGCCCATTTAGCTGGAATGCATCTGTCCACCAAAATTCCAAGGCCAGGTGACTCCTTTTATGAACGGCGCTTGAAAATCTGGTGTTCCCTGGCAACATCGGATCGATTTCTGAGTTTGATTCTTGGCCTGCCTTATGGCATCAGCGATCAATTCTTTTTACCACAGATGGAACAACGTCTCAATTCAAACTTATCAGCTCCCGAGGAATACGTGTTGCGCATTGGCATTATCGCGGGACATATGGTTGACCGAAACCAAGACCCTTCCAAGATGACTATCGCAGCAACATTACGACTGGATCAAGAGCTGCAGGATTCTTGGGAATCTATGCCAAGTCACTTTCAAGTCGCAGAGCCTTGTGAGGATGAGAAACGGGAACACTACATTGAGAGGGTCCCGTTGCAATTCATGCTCAAGCTACTGCGTGCTTTTCTCCATCTCCCCCTGATGCTACAATCTCCCCACGAGCCTCAATTCCGTCCCTGCCACACGATCGCGATTCAATCCGCAAGAGAAGGCCTCGTTTTATACAAGGTCCTTCGATCTACCACCAAGCCCTATTTGTGCAAAATGATCGACTTTATGGCCTTCACGCTATGTCTTCTTTTGATAATCCACCTGCAAGGCTATTCCGATGAGAATCCATATCAAAGTAAAGAGCAAGATGAAGAAGACTGGGGTATGGTAAAGAAGGTGATTGAGATACTTCGTCAGGCGGCAACAGAGCTAGGAGGCTCAGTTGCTGCTGAGTCTGCGAACATCCTCGGCGCTATCCATGACACCAAAGATTTCAAGCACGATTGGAGCTGTTTCTCGAGCTGCAAAATTACAGTGCCCTATTTTGGTACTATTACGGTCGGTGCAGGAACCAAGTTTTCGAAGGGTCGCCCCCAAAGCAAGGAGCAGACATCAGTAGGATCAGGCACAATAGGGACGGAGGCTTCTTGCTCGGAACAATGTCCCACTCAGCTCTATACGCCGCCGATGTCTGACCCTGAAGGTGCGCTATGTACCAACAATGATGCCTTGAACGGTGCTTCCCTCACACCCACGATGGCGTCTGGATATCCAGACGAATCATGGCATTCGAGAAGTGAAGTAGTGGCAAACCCATATGTCGGCCTGGAACTCAATGCGTTTAGTGGACTGTTCGACGATTTTGGGCAGTACATGTGGCCAAACCGTAATATTGACCTCGGACTTGATCAGGGCTGGAATCTGAACTGGTCAGATGGCGAGCCACCACCATGAATTTAGACACCCTTGTGGCTTTACTTAAATGTCTGAAATCTTTATATGCTGTAAACTAGAACATTTGACAATATATGTATTCCGTCGAAAGAAACGATTTCTATCATCTGATTGCATGACCGGGAACTGGATCTGTTGCCAGACCCCGGTCATGTCCAAATTGGCCAAGTAGCATTGGTTCCCGGCAGTGTCAATACCATTAAGATGAGATCTCAATATCCTGTTAATAAAATGTAATAGAAGAGATCAAAACAAGAAATCGAGCCTAGAGTGGTCTAGAAATGACGTTGCCCGGGGGTTAAAGGGGGTTATGTAAGATTGTTTTCCCCAGCATCGACCTCGGACTGATTATCTCAGTGAACCCGTGAAAGGACCGTGTGATCCCTGAATTATTCCCATTTGCCCGTTTGATTAGTCTGTTGATTTTTCCCAGTTGCATGGTCCTCTAGATCCTAGTATATCCTTGTTATTTCAACTCGCTCTTGCCACAACACCTCCTCCTTGCCCAACATACACAGAGCAGAAGATAAACATGGCCGAACAACGCCCCTCGGGGTTGGAAAGGAGTCCAACTGCGCCGCCGATTCTCTCAAACGGCCACTTTGCTTCGATCGGCGCCGAAGGTGATACGGCCTCCTATGAGCATGGCGTGCAGGTGATTGATGGGAATAAGGAGTTCAAGTACGACCACCTACATCTATGGTTCAACTAATCATGAGCCCTGAATGCTGATCGCATCACTATAGTCCCAACCTGTCCAAATATTTGGCCCTTGAGAAGGTCACGCCAGCTGGTTTCAACTACCATCTCATCTCCGTGTTTGGTTCGCAATCCACCGGAAAGTCCACACTGCTCAATCAACTGTTCGGTACCGAGTTCTCCGTGATGTCCGAGCTGGAAAGAAGGCAAACGACCAAGGGTATCTGGCTTTCGAACAACAAGAACCAGGGCGAAGCTGGCGCGGCGGAGCGAATGGCTGATAACATCTTGGTCATGGACGTGGAAGGAACTGACGGTCGCGAGAGAGGTGAGGATCAGGACTTTGAGCGCAAGAGTGCGCTCTTTGCGCTTGCGACGAGTGAGGTCCTTATTGTCAACATTTGGGAACACCAGGTGGGGTTGTATCAGGGAGCCAACATGGGGTTGTTGAAGACCGTGTTTGAAGTCAACTTGCAACTGTTCCTAAAGGACAGACAGTATGTATACTTCTAATGGTCCCTTTCTCTATGCGCCTTGGGCGCTAATCTCTCTCCAGCACCACCCACCGGTCCCTCCTATTTTTCGTCATTCGTGATTTCATCGGTACCACACCACTCAAGAACTTGCAGAAGACATTATTGGAAGACCTCTCCCGCCTCTGGGACACTATATCGAAACCTGCGGGCTTGGAGAAGTCGACAATTCACGATTACTTTGATTTCCAATTCTATGGACTGCCGCACAAGGGTTACCAGCCTGACCAGTTTGTGACGGAGGCAAAAAAGCTTGGCCTGCGTTTCCGGGAAGGTCACCGAGACCCAACAAGGGATGCTCTTAAGGGTGAGTTCTCCGAAGGAGGAGTCTTCCTCCCAGAGTATCATCGCCGCATCCCGGCAGACGGATTCGCACACTATGCGGAGGGAATTTGGGATCAAATCGTCAACAATAAGGACTTGGATTTGCCCACACAGCAGGAGTTGCTTGCGCAATTCCGTTGTGACGAAATTCTGCGCGAGGTAATGATCGGCTTCGATGAGGCGATCGTCGCATTTGAGGATAAGCAGGCCGAGTCCGTCCGTGCTGGTGCGCCAGAGGTTCTGGGGGGACTTGGCGTTGCCATGCGTGCTGCGCGTGTCAAGACGCTAAAGAGCTTTGAGACGGAAGCTAGCCGATACCACAAGGGTGTTTACCAACGGAAAAGCGCTGAGCTTCAGGGCAAGGTCGATACCCGCCTCAAGGCACTATTCCACGGCCAGCTGTCGGCAGCTCACAAGTCTGGAATCCGTGACTTCAGTGATTCTGTCAGTGCTACTGTGAAGGATGGCCAAAAGAAGGGCGGCAGTTACGACTTCGCGGAAATCGTCACCAAAGAGGCCCAGTCTTCGTTGGAGAAGTTCGAGGAGGTTGCCAATTCCACGTTGGTGGATGGAGCCTCTTGGAGCAACTACGAGCAAGAGCTATCTTTGTATAAGAAAGAATTGGCTGAGGTCAGTGCCGGACTGCGCCGCGATGAAATGAGACGTTTGGCCACCCGTGTCGAGCGATGGGTTCAATCCCGCCTGGGTGAATCTGTGGGCCTTGAGTTCAATGCCCTCGGGTCTGGAAGAGCTGGCAGTGGTGCCCCCGAGAACGGGGAGAAGCCTGCTGAGAAGGACTTTTGGGATCGGATCTGGAACTTGTTTGAAGAGACTGTTCTTGACGCTGAGCGGAGATTCACGGACCGTGCGAGCAGCTTCGATGCTAGCATTGATGAGGTCGATGTTGGTCTTTGGCGACTGCGCCGTAAGTCTTGGGGTGTTCTCCGCGCCAAGATCGAAGAGGAGATGATTGAGGGCAACTTGCTCCTCAAGCTTCGGGAGAACTTCGAGGACAAGTTCCGCTACGACGAAGCCGGAGTGCCACGGATCTGGCGCCCAACAGATGACATCGAGGGCATTTACACCCGTGCTCGCGAGTCTACCTTGACAGTGATTCCTCTTCTGTCTCGTTTCCGCCTGGAAAGAACTACTGCCCCACCCCCGCTTGACCGATGGATTGGGCACACCCCAAGCACCGTGACATCTGCGGATGAGGAGGATCTGGCCCCCATCGGGGGGGTGGACGAACACGAGGGCAAGAGTTTGGAAGAAGAGATGACAATTCTTAGCGATACGAAACGCCAAGAGCTCACTGTAAGATTCAAGAAGGCCGCGGACGGTGTCTATGTCGAGGCCAAGCGGAGTGCCATTGGCGGTATGACACAGGTTCCCTTGTATTTCTACGGTTTGTTGCTGGCTCTAGGCTGGAACGAAATCTGGGCTGGTAAGTTTTCATTGATGAATCATTCATTTTCGCATTCTGTATACTGACGTTAGTCTTCAGTCCTGCGCAACCCGGTTTATTTTATTCTGCTATTTGCGTGTGCTATTTGCGTATACATCACCTATCAGCTCAACCTGTGGGGTCCCATGCTGAAGATGACCGAAGCCGCCTCCCAGCAAGCTCTGGAAGAAGGCAAGCGCCGCCTGCGCGAGTTCCTCGAGTCCTCTGACGCTGGCCGCCAGGCTATTGCTATGTCGGCTGGGGAGCGTGCTGCGTCTTCAGGCCGCAAGGAAGAGTATGAAATGTCGGATATGCAAAAGAGTGGCTCGAAGGCTAGTGATGACCTGGATGACATGTAACTACCTTGCTGTGCTCTTCTGGCGATCACACTGTACTTTACTTTCTGTAGCTTCTATAAGCATACAATGTGGACTTTTTGACTACAATCTCTTTGCACAGAACAGAATATTCGACTTTTACGACTTTGACTCGATTGAACAACTTACTACATACTTCTTGCATCGTCGTTGTGAATGCATCCACGCATTACAGGGGATGGTGGGGGACAGAAGAAGAGAAGGGGGGGTTATACTCGCAGGTCAGGTGAGGACGTTGCACCTTCCAGAAAGATATCGATTACGTTATTAGGCAGGTGTACACAGGTTCAGAAGGAACGACAAGGGTTCTGCATTCCATTGAGATACAGAAGGGTGCGGCAGCGCGTGAAGGCATATTCTGGGCCTTCTTGATTTGCTTCTATTTCGTCAGAACTCAACTTCTACATCAGCTCTTCGGTGAGATCATATCTTGCTATGTCAGTAGCATCTCAATGGCGACCTTGATATACCAAATTGCCAACCACTGCGGGGGTCATACCCACGTCAAGGGTCCGGACTTCCTCCGAGGTGGGGTATATTCACCCAACTCAGCGACTACGAAACTTAGCTTGTGCAATGTGAAGCATTGAAGCTTTGAAGTTATTCGGCTAATCTCCTTCGCCAATCCCCTTTATCCTGAACCATGTCCGGTATTCCTAATCTCCCTGAGACATTCGATGATCTCCCCGACAAGCGTCGGTTCTGGCCTGGGACCGCAGGGTCAGAAGAAGAAGGGCTGGGAATGCTCCGCCTTCTGACGCCCGAGTTAGTCGCTCGCGCCGCACAAACACAAATCCAAACAGGCGAGCGGGTATGCTTAAACTGGAACATGGAGAATTTGAACCCACCAGGTAGAACAAGGGCACCTAACCGTCGAATAAAATGAGAACTTGTAAAACTCACAACTCGAGAAACCAGGGTTCGGTCGCAAACCATTCGAGCACCGTGTCAAATGGGTCGCTGAGGGCGTCGCTTTCGACGACGAGTACCACTTCAACCCACAGCAGTCCTCCCAGTGGGACGGCCTCCGACACCACAATGCACCAGCCCCAACACCAGAAGACGAAGACCGACGCCTCTTCTACGGCGGTACGACGGCCGAGGAAATTCTAGACGAGAACTCGTCGCGGATTGGCATTGGGTTTTGGGCGAAGAAGGGTATTGCCGGGCGCGGCGTGCTGATCGATTACGTCTCCTACGCGGAGAGGAGTGGTATCAGCGTAAACGCGCTGAGTCGGCTGGTAATTTCATTGGACGAGGTGCAGAAGATCGCGCGCGAATGCAACATCATATTCCAAAAGGGCGATATCTTTTTCTTGCGGGTCGGCTTGCCCGGGACGTGGGAGCGGATGTCGGCCGAAGAGCGGGTGACATATAGTCAGCAGGGCATGCCGCAGCATGCCGGAATCGAACAGAGTGAGCGAGTGCTGCGCTTTATATGGGATAATCATTTTGCGGCTGTTGCATCCGATGCTGTTAGCTTTGAGGTTTTCCCGCCTCTGAACCCGGAGTTCGATTTGCACCATCATCTTCTGGCTGGGTGGGGTGTGCCTATTGGGGAGATGTTTGATTTGGACGAATTGGCTGCGACGTGCAAGCGTTTGAAGCGTTGGAGTTTCTTTATTTCGAGTAGTCCGTTGAACTGCTCCCGGGGAGTGTCTAGTCCCCCTAACTGCATGGCTATTTTCTAGGTTCTTTTAAGAAGCTTTAATCCAAGGCAATTTGAAGATTCATAACCGAGTACGGAGTATCTTAATGTCATATCCATTACCGCCACGTGACCCAGCCAATAGACACCTAATCTATAAGGCCATCATTTTATATGGCCCACTTTTCCCTTTTCCCCTTTGCCTCGGAAGCACACGGCTTCATTCCAATATTGTTTATTGTACAGATGAATCCTCGAATCGAATTGAGGGTAATATTGAATGTCGAAATCATGTCTTGAACATGCAAATCTCAGCCATGTAGGCCTTTTGAAATATGACTGATCTCGACGCTCAGCCACATCCTAGAACAGGCTAACGCTAAGGTCTAAACATCGCTAGATTTATCATCATGATTTTTTTTTTCCCTTTATAGGCGAGGCATGCTGCCGCCATGTGAAAATTTATTTTCCTCTCTGAAGATATGCCGCCCACCATCAAACGGGTGGCGGCTCTTCTGCCCTGCATCCTCCTAGTTCTAGGGCTCTATATTTACTATCAACCTGAACCATCACGACCACTCACCCACAATGGAGTACTTGACAAATTTCCTGCCAAAAAGCCAAATCGACAGCAATTGTTTGATGGCTCTTGGGATTATCAGCGCGATAGAGATAATCTGATGCTCACACAAGACCAATGTGACCAGGCATTTCCCGATCTATACACTGAACTTGATCGCGCCAGAGACGATCGCAAATCTCGTCCGATATCCCTCAAGGAACTGGATGCAATCCCAGCCCGAAATGGATATATTCGAGCTATGATATATGATCAGCAGGTAAGCAACATCATTCCGTGGGTCATCTACTTAGTGCTAAGCGTGGTCTAGTTGTATGTGATCGACAAGGAAGGCTCCATTTGGTCCCGAGAAAAAGCTACACTGTCTGCGATAAATCGAGCGATCATTTCATCGCCAGAGCCACTCCCCAATATTGAATTCGCTTTCAATACAGATGACTCGGTCGATGAATTGCCCCTCTGGGGATACGCTCGTCGCGCAAAGGACAAGTCTATATGGCTGATCCCGGATTTCGGATACTGGTCCTGGCCAGAGACCAAAGCTGGGTCTACACGCGAAGTACAAGCCAAAGCCGAATGGGCGGAAGAAGAAGGGTTGACCTGGAGTAATAAAACCGCCAAGCTGCTCTGGCGTGGAGTGCCGATCATGGGCCCAACAATTCGGGATAAGCTTCTTCAAGTGACGAAAGACAAGTCCTGGGCCGATGTGAAGCCGCTTGTGTGGAATGATAAGGACAGTTTGAAGAATGACTACAAGACTATGCCGGAGCACTGCGAGTATCAATATGTCGCGCAGACAGAAGGGAATACGTACTCTGGTCGTCTGAAGTATCTCCAGAGTTGCAGGAGTGTGGTTGTCTCGCACGAGCTGGAGTGGATCCAGCACTACTATCATCTTATGAAATCGTCAGGACCCGAGCAAAACTTTGTCCAGGTGAGGCGTGATTGGTCAGATTTGGAGCGACAAATGCAGTATCTTTTGTCTCACGACGATGAGGCCAGACGGATTGCGGATAACAGCGTTCAAATTTTCCGCGAGAGATATCTCAGTCCTGCGGCAGAGGTGTGCTACTGGCGTCGGTTGATGCGAGAGTGGAAGAAGGTCATTGATTTCGAGCCTGAATTCTTTAAGATGGTGGATGGGAAGAAAGACTGGAGAGGCATTTCCGTGGAGAGCTTCTTGCTGATGGGAGAGGTGGAGTATGATCCCCGATGAAGGCACTGAAATATATACATGTGATACCCCGATTCGAAGCTTATATTTGGATCCTTTCCCTTATTTGCTAAGATACTTCGTAGTTGGGATATGCTGAACGCGCGAGCTGGGGATTATTCAACTGGTTTGCTGGATAGCCCGGTATCAGCCAAGCCCACACTTATATAGAATTAGGCGAGAATTACTATACTAAAGGCTACAATTAAACTATAGAGATTATTTGGCCCCTTGTAAAACTAGTGCTTCATTCTTGTGCGAGATCAACATTTATTCGCCAAGACTGTTTTACGCATTCCGACCCTTTTCCCCTTCCCCCCAGTGCCTTCGTGACTCTGCTGCAAAATACTACGTAGGTAGTATTCAATTAAAGTCCTACATTCCAAGTTCTTGAAAAGGTGTTGTTTTGAGACTATGTTTACCCAACCACAATGATCGTCGCGTGCCATTGCTTCTTGGGAGCAACTACTTAAATACTATGAGACGCAATTCCTCGTCAGGTTCCTCAAACCAACTACTTTCACAACATCGACACTCTCTTTAACGCCTTTCCTAGCCGGAGAATTACTTTCTTTGCCCAACAATCTTTACTCCCGACCAAGATGCACTTCTCTAAGGTGATTCCACCCCTCAATCGTTACACTTAGATGTATACAACTTGCTAACACAAACAGACCCTTGCCACCGCGGCCACCTTTGCCATGACTGTATACGCCGGCTTCCCTGTCGCCAGCGTTAGTTTCCTCTCATGGGAGAAGTGCGACGTTGGCCGCCCTGCATTCGGCGAGGCCAAGTTCTCCGCCGATGTGAGCGTCACTCCTGTGACATGCGACAAGACCCCTGTCAACCGTGACTGGAGCATTGACAACTATTCCTTCCGCGCTCGCTTGGATACCAAAGACACCATTTTCTGCCACGGCGTGACCATCTGGAACAACGATGGCTGCTCTGGTGAGCCTGTGTACTTCCTACCTTTCGAACACAGCCCCTTCGCCGAGGGCCAGTGTCTCCCTGACATCCTCCAGCCTGGCTATGTCTCTTTCAAGCTGGCTTGCCACGGTTTCCCCTAAGAGGCTTAATATTCGATTTTCATGCAATCATGACTTCCGAGATTGTCATATTGAATTCTATGAAGACCTTGGATTGGCGATAGATACCTACATTCTTTCATTGTCTGTTTTCTCTTATGTTTCTTACTTGGCCCTGGCTCACGGATATATCTGGTATTACCGAGTACTTCCTAGGCTATATTTTCCACGAGACCACACTTCATAGCATAATGTTTCCTACCGTCCAGCAAATTCAACAACTAATTTCTCCTCCATGAAGAACATACAATGCATAGATAGGCAAGAAGCATCAAATGTTGGCCAGTCCTGAGTTTTGACGCTCACGGTTCTGTACATATAACATAAGGACACCAACCTTATTACATGGTTAGGCTACTGTCAGCGTGGCGACTACTAGTCCTGAAATTAGCTCAACCAAGCCAAGGATGATGTTTATTCAAGCTGGTCAATGACGACGAGTGCCATTAATCT